AGCCTTCGTCTGGCTTTTAAATGTACCGGAAAAATGGCTGAAGGAATCGCCCAACGTTTTAAATTTAAAAAACTGCGTAGAATTTTACTCTGCAGAACAACTTCATAAAAAAGTTATTACGTATAACAAAATTACAATGAAATAAGCAATATCCCTTAATACAAATATTAATTATCCTTAATAAATAAATTAAACCAAATTCCCTTTGCAAAAATCTTAGAACTCAAATGGTAAAAGGAGGTTAAGACTTTGTTTCCTAAAAAAAATCACTCAAAACTTTTCAAATCTTAAAAACAGTGAAATGAGCAATAAATAAAATAAAAGAATACAAAAAACAAAAAATTCTGAAAAGCAAAGTATAATTAATGATATTTTTATCTTATATTTTCAAGGTAAAAAATTACAATGAAATAAGCTATATCCCTTAATACAATATTAATTATCCTAATTAAAAAAATTAACCAACTTTCCGTAGAACAAAAAATCATGCAAAACTTTTCAATATCTTATAAACAGGGAAATAAGCAATAAATAACATGAAAGCAACTCAAAAAAAACCATTCCGCGCAGAATTTTTACTCCACATAACAACTTTATCAAAAAAAAAAAAATCAAAAAAATATTTTATATAAAAAATGTGAAATATACCAATCTCTTAAAAACAGTGACATAAGAAATACGATGAAACAACGTTGCCAAAACCCATATTTCTAAAAGAATGAAACTATTCAAAATGATGCGATTTCATCAAAAATCTATCAACAACAATAAGACAGGAAAATTGTTGCCAAAATCACACATTTTTAAAGATGGGAGATGTGAGAAGTGTACTCGGAAGTTTCATTTAAAAATCTTTAAAAAATACAAAATATTATCATTTTTCCAAAATTCTTTTTGTAAAAGCATTCGCAAGGATGAAAGTTTTAACGTGTCCAAAAATCAAAGAAAAATAAACTGTACATTTTTAAAAATAAACTTTTTTAGAAAAAATCCCATTTGAAAAAGTGTTAAGCTCCCTTTGTTAAATAAATTCGTATTGAATCGATTTATTGAAACACGAAATTTATTTTAAACTTAAATAGCTAATGCCTACAGTTTCATGACATGTAAAATGGAGTGTGTAGGTAAAATCTCGCTTTCCTATAGCCCATTATGTTTCAAAATTACACGATTTCGTCACCAAACATGAAATAAAAAATTCGAATCGCTTCGCACTGGCTCTTGTAGATGTACCTATGTACCAGATTTCGTAGCCGTGGTCTATTAGCTTACGCGCAGCGCGAACGAAAGGCACACACACAGACAGACTCTTTCTTTTTTATATGTAGAGAAGATATGTAGAGAGATTGTTTAAGGAAGGAACTTTTAAGTTCGCGGCAGCTGTACCTGCCCTTAAGACGGTCATCACGGAGAGTCTAGCCTTTTGCAATTCCTTGAGAGCTCACATTTACAACAATATCTAGTGTAATCAATCTCACTTAGCGGAATCATTGAAGTAAAATTCTGGGAGGGATGGGAAAAACAAAAGAGCTGCTTGACAATTTTCAGAGGTTTAGGGTTTTTTCGCGACATTTACGGGAATTCGGTCCAAAACTAGCGACAGTTTTAAAGGGATTCGCAGAAAATCACTCGACAGGCTAAGGGTTAAAAAGTCCAATTCGAGTATGCCATGGATCTGTAATATTCGCCACATAAGCCGTATGATGGTAGGCGTCACTTCCAAACATGATGTTCACGTTTAACTTCCCAGCTATGTCGATCTTATCACCAGACGCAGTCTGAAGGGTAGCACAGGATGGCGTCCAAATAAGTTTATCTTTAAACTGTTCAGCTAAATCTTTCCTAATGATGGTAACATTGGCTCCTGTGTCAATGATCATATTGCAAGGAATTCCATCCATATGCCCATTGATGGACAGTCCGTTACTGTTGCCACACACTCTAGAAATCTTGAGCGCTTTAAAAAACAGGGTTTTTCATTATCTGGCAACCTCCGTTCCTTGATATGATCATTAATTTTTTTTCCTGCGTCGTTGCTCAGAAAGTTCTCTCAATTTTCGTACCCTGGGGTTTTTCGCAATTCTTTCGTACGTGGCCTTCAGCTTCCACAGTTCCAGCACTTTTGTTTCTTGTCAATCCCTTTCCGTCCCATGGCATTTAATTGTCTGTTTAATCCGTCTCTCTTATTTTTCGTACTCTGGGGTGTTTTGCAGTTCCTTCGTATGTGGCCATTCAACACCGCAGTTCCAGCACTTTAGGATTGGTTTCTCCTCTTCAGTATTACGTATCTAAGGCATTCACTGGTCTTATCAAATCATCGATTTTATTATCCGTGCCCTGGGGTGTTCTGCAATGCCGTTGAATGTGCCCTTCAATGCCACATTTCTAACACCACATTGTTCTCACTCCTACTCTGTATCAAAGCATTGACTTCTCTGGCTAAATCATCTAAACGAGCCATCAGTTGATCCCCTGGCCCGTGGACTCGCACAGCTCTGACTGGGTAGCGATCTCTACGAGTTGCTTGCTGGGCTCCCTCAAATTTCACGGCATACAACAGAGCGCTTTTTACATCTTTAACATCCGCCATTCGCAGTGCTTTCTGTATTTCAGGGTCCCGGATGCCATCGATGAAATATTGCAGCGACAGGATTTCTCTTGTTTCTGTCGGGCACTCCGAAAAGGCGTGATGTGACAGCCTTTCAACACCCGTGGCGAGCTCCTGAAGTGTTTTGGTGGGCTTCTGCTGACGGGATTTTAGTTGAAGCCTGCTGTAGTCTTTTAAACACTTCCCTCCAAAGCGCAGCTCCAATGCGCCGGATAGAGCTTCGAAATCAAACCTTTTGTTTTCGGGAAAAGTCTGAAGGATATCCGCTGCGTCGGCTCTTAAAAAAGCGGCGAGATGACAGGCCTTAGCTTGGGAATCCCATCCATTCGCATCCGCCACGATAGAAAATTGTGTCTTATACACCTGCCAGGAGGTCTTACCATCATATGTCGACAGCTTCAGAGAGGGACGAGCTGGCATGGGTAGAAATTTTAAATCCTCCGAAGTGCTCGCTACGAATTTCTTTAAAGTATCGACTTCTTTCGTAACGGCTGAAACCCTACCATCAATTTGTTGCTCGACGGCAGAAACTCGCTCTTCTATATGTTCTTTTACAGAAGAAATTCTTTCTTCTACTTGTTCTTTTACCGAAGAACTCTTTCTTCTATTTGTCCAACTTTAGTTTCAACAGTGTCAATTCTGCCTTCCATAGCTTCAAATTTGTTTTCTATTATACAAGTAATCTCTTTTTTTAATTTCCTCTTGCTCTATTTTCACTTCCTCTTTAACAGCTTTCATCTCTTCCTTAAATGATTCCTGAAAAACTTACATCTTTCTTTAACGGTTTCCTGTCCCGCTTTAATCTTTTCCTTAACGGATTTTTGACCAGCATCCATTTTCTCTTTAATTTCTTCTTTAAAAGATGTTTGCCGAGCTTCCATCTTTTCCTGGCTAGATTTCACCCTATCTTTCATTTCAACTTGTCCCGCTTTCATTTCTTCCTTAAACGAGGCAAAGGCTGATATCAATTGTCTTAACTGTTCTTCCATTGCTCTTGTTATTGGCATTCAAATCCCACTTCTGACACCAAAAATTGTTGCGTGCGTACGGGTTCGTTACGAAATGAATGCACAAGTCCGATGAAAAATGATAAAAAATTTATTATTATCACAAGAAATATTCTTAAATTTCCTAAAATATTCGTGCAGTATTACAATATTTCACAGTACTTATCTTTTAACTACTCAAACGTTCAAGAGAACTTAATTCAAAGCAGCTAAAGAAAGCTAATCCGCGAATTCGCTTCAGTCAACAAGAGCAATTTTCTTAACAACAACAAACTAAGTAACTACTACGAACTGAGAGGTTTTCCTCCTTTCATAAGATTTTAAAATCGCGCGCGAGAATTTTCTAGTACTTTCTCGAAATCAAAAAGAGATATTTATTAAATGTTACACGCACGCGCTCTTGTAGTTTCAATTTCCCGGCTTAGCTTTCTTTTAATATTCGTCACGCGCTGCACTGCGCGGGAAATAAAACCATTTAATTTATAATTGAACTAACATTAGCTTTTTAAAATATCAAATTCGTAACAAAATAATAGTAATAAATTAAAGAGAAATTCCCTTAAGGAGACGGAAGACTTTAAAATAGCTAAAAATCAACCAAAATATTAAATTTGTTTTTTTACTCTCGTATTATTCCATATACATAACCACATCGTATGCAAAAAATCGAATTCAAATATTCTAATTTTACGAATTCGTTTTCGAAAGCCCTCGCGAATGAATTCTACTACATGGAGTAACTGGTGTACCGTCGAGTGTTCATGCCGGAAGCCAAATTTTTCCGGGATTACTAAATTTCGATCATGGCAGAATTTAGTCAGCTGTTTAAGCAAAATAAATTCACAAATTTTTGAAAGAGACGATAATAGGGTAATTGGCCTTTAGTTGACGAGGAGACTTAAATTTTGACTTGGTTTTGGAATAGGAATGACAATTTTCCATCAGTCAGAAAAGTAAAATTTTTTAAACATTAGATTACTCAGGACCGTGCATTCCGGGGAAGTTTTTGATCATGAGATTCGAAATTGAATCTATGCCTGGTGCCTTTTTGGGTTTCATTGTAATGCTAGCAGCTCAGTTTGGTCAGTAGGCCTGAGATCAGGCGGGATAGATTGTGCCAGAAAATGTTCACACGTGAGTGTATGCGCCCCTGTCTAACGGGCGGCTACAGTATGCGTCGTTATATGGACTAAATTGTGTAGCAAGGCTGTCAGCGATGGCTTCAGCCTTTTCAGTGTCTTTAAAAGCCATATGATTAGCATTGACCGTTTCAAGGGGTGGAATGTGTTTAAATTGTTGCATAATCGGGCGGCGGCGCGCGTCGTCAGTCGTTAAAGGGCTCAATGTAGACAATCTTTGACGGTTGAAAGGAATTTTGCTTTGAAATCTAAACAGAAGCGTTCAGTCTGAAACATCCAAAATTTTTTTAATTTAATTTTTGTTTAAAATAATGCATAAAATTTAAATTATTGAAGAAAATTATCTAGAAAATTTTATCTATAATGGCACTAAAGTGAATAGGAAAAAGTACTATAACTACGGATTTCTTGCCGCTCCATATTAAAATTGTTTACGAGTGTTTAAGTAGTTTTTTTCATTCTTTGAACGTAGGTATTATTTTAAGTGCGAATTACTTGTATCCTTTAAGAATGTGTTAAAATATTATGTGTTTCTTTTCTGATGATAAGAAATTGAAAAAACATTTTACAGTTATCTGTTTAAATTTTTTAGTATTAAATAAGAACGTGGTTTTGAGTTTGGCTTCTTTAAGAATTATTTCTACATTTTCTTTACCCCTTTCTCTATCATTTTCGATAGAGAAATACGATTTCTACTTATTTTAGTGCAATAAACTGAATACAGTTTTTCATTGTAGTAAACTTAAGAATAGTTTGTGCTTATGTACAGTTATCTTGAAATCAAAATTTTATTATTAAAATTTAAATGAAATAGCTTACCCTTTTTCCTGAATCCTAGTATCCGGTGCATACGGGATTTGGCGACTTTATAATGAGCAGTAAAAACGAAACATATAGGATGAGTAGTAAACGGGTCTTTCAAAGAATATATATAGTTATGTAGTATATACATAAACATAGTGATAGTATATACATAAACATTTTTTGGGTCGTTTTTGGTGTTGGCGATAATTTTCAAAACCGCGCCAAGGCTGCACGGTATACTAGGATTTTACCTGACTTTTTTTTTTTGGGGGGGGGGGGGCGTGTGTAAAATAGAAAAAGGTATTATTTTGATAATAATGAATATATATTCTGTTAGTAGGATTATTCTCTTTCCTGTTTTAAAATAAGAAACTACTTTTTTACCTAGGACTAATTCAGCCTGTTACTATACGTTTGGCATTATACAACATTTGTTAAAATTCAATTTTAACACTCTTTTTAAGGTAATTCATTGTAATTTAGTAACTATATGTATATTTGTTAAAAGTTTTCGGTTGATCTTTACAATATGGTAACTGGTAGTTTGACGACATTTTGGAGGCGATAAAGGTTACTACCTGGGACTTTGGTAATAATGTGAGCAGTACTCAGTTCCGATTACGCATTATTTTGCGTGAGGGAAATGAGAGATCATGGGATATGTCATGTGATATTAATGGACGAATTACGGTTCTTTAATCGGAAAAGGGGGAAATCGGGAAAAAATGTGGAAATTTTGTATTTAGCTTTATTCTGTGTTGTGTGGAAACAGTGTTGTGTAATTTTTGGATCCCATGGCCCTAACTAAAGTGATTCGAAATGGGTATTTAGGCATTGTGATAAAGAGAAGTTTGCTTTTTATTTAGCGGAGGAAGTATGGAGGAAAAATTCGCAGAAAAAATCTTTCAATAATTTTATTGAATGAATTAGAAAAGTGTATCCGCCACGTAATCAAGATTCTGAAGAAGATTAGGTAAGTTAGTATTTTTAATTATTTGAGGATATTATTTTTATGCATTGTTCTAAATGTAAGGTGGAAAGGAATTTGGTATTATTGGGAAAATTGTTATTAGCAATGATTTAGTTTTTAAAGTAATTAGGATTGTAAGGTAATTTTTATTAATTTAATGTATGTGCTCATTTATATTTTAAGTAGTGTTTTTGAATTTAATTATATTTTAATGAAATGATAGTTATTTTGTGAATTTTATGTTTGTAGGAATTTGGTATACGTTTAAGTTGAAATAAACGTGCATGGAAATAATTTAAATATTTGATACTAAGTATTTGTAATACTTGCGGTATGAATTAGTTGGTGACGTGTAATAATGTATAGATTTTAGAGGTAAACTTTTTTGGATATTTTATTATTTTTATGTGGAAATGTTCATATTTGTAAAGGCTAAATACTTTTTCGCGATCAGGTAATTTCATATATGTTCTTTTTACCGGGTTTAAAGATTGAGAAAATTGTTATGTATTTTCGTGAAATTTTTCTAATTTATGAAAAAAAAAGCAGTGTGCATGGATATAGTGAAGAGTGTGCGCAATGCCATTTTTGTGCAATTCTGGGGTGTTTTTTTAAGTAAAAATAAGTCGACGTGTACATGGTTTAGTGATATTTTAATTAAATGATAGTTATTTTGTGAATTTTATGTTTGTAGGAATTTGGTATACGTTTAAGTTGAAATAAACGTGCATGGAAATAATTTAAATATTTGATACTAAGTATTTGTAATGCTTGCGGTATGAATTCGTTGGTGACGTGTATAATGTAATAGATGATTTAGAGGTAAAAGTTTTTGGATATTTTATTTATTTTATATGTGGAAATGTTCATATTTGTAAAGGGTAAATACTTTTTCGCGATCAGGTAATTTCATATATGTTCTTTTTTTACCGGGTTTTAAAGATTGAGAAAATTGTTATGTATTTTCGTGAAATTTTCTAATTTATGAAAAAAAAAAAAGCAGTGTACATGGATATAGTGAAGAGTGTGCGCAATGCCATTTTTGTGCAATTCTGGGGTGTTTTTTAAGTAAAAATAAGTCGGCGTGTACATGGTTTATGTGTATGTGTTATTTTGAAAAACGCGTAAGGTGTATGGTATTGTGCACTTTTTCCCAATTTTGCAGTGAATATTTGTCATGATTAAGCAGTTTTGTTTGATAAAATTTCTAGCATAAGTGTAATTCGGCTAGTAGATTGTTGGAAGAAGTGTTCAGTAGATAAGAAGAAAAGAAACATGTCGTGAAGACAAAATGGCGGCGGGGAAAAAAAAATAGAGGGTTGCTGTAGGAGAGTTGGTTGCCAAATTTTCGCCAAAAAATCGCCAAGTTACCATAATGTAAAGATCAACCAAGTTTTCAATTGGTTTCCCTTGTTTTTTGATGCCAAGATGGCCGCTGCACAAAACCAAAATAAAAAGTAAAAGAATTGCACGTTGTACATGTACACATCGATCTATTTTCACTTAATAAAACATCAGAGAATTCCACAAACTTGACATAGTGCTTTGCCTTGAGAATCTCCATGTACACATCAATCCATTTTCACTTTAAAAAAAAAAAAAAAAATCAGGAATTTAAAACTAAGTGAAAACTATCATGGTAACCAGAAATGGAGCTTCATCACCAAAATCTGTCGCCAAAGGGGCACCCAATTTTACACTACAGTTGTATATTTATTTAGGCAGTGAACTCAATTCATATTTTTTCTTTTTTTTTTTTTTAACTTACCATTGGCTTTAGGATGTTAACCCGGGAGGATGCACGCTGTATTATGTAACAGGATAACGTGCATGGGGTGTCAACACACCCCAAGCAATTAAATGACATACAAATTAAACATATAATTACAATTAAGTAAAAAATGCATTCTATATTAATTGCAACATTTGGAACTACTCTGATATGCGCCCTCAAGTCGCCAAATATTTTTGGCGAGAAACTTCATGCTGCCATATTACTATCTAAATTTTTTGTCTACATTTCTAACTTTTAGCCTAAAATGTCTCCAAAAACTCGGTTTTCGCACATCCAAAAACTACGTTTTCAACATAGAATTTAGCTAAAAATCCAAAAACAAAAAATTTAGATAGCAAAAATGTAAAGTTTCTAACCAAAAATATTTGACAAGAATCCATGTATACAGCAACATGTTTTAACTTAAAAAAAAAATCTACGAATGGCACAGTGTGGGCAACGAACGAATCTACAAACTACACACACCTCGCTTTAATAAATTAACATAACAACAATAAATTTCAAAGAATACCATGTACACAGCATCCTGTTTAAACTTAAAAAAAATTCTACTAATTGCACAATTTGGGCAAGGAAGGAATCTACGATCTACGCACTCCTCGCTTTAATAAAATAACATAACAATAAATTTCAAATAATACCATGTACACAGCGTTCTATTTCAACTATAAAAAACATCTATGAATTGCACAGTCTAGACGGTAGACACTAACAACAAAAAACTAAAGTAAATTTCAAACAGTTTAAAAAAACAACAATAACGACAGAAATTCATACTAAAGAACCAATGAACATAACATTCTACAAAATAAGAACAAGGATAAAATAAAATGCACTTACCATGAATTAATGCGTTTTCGAATAGCAGAAATATGAATTTCATACCGCCTTTAACATGCCGCCACGTAATCACTATCGTATTTACATGACAGCCAGACACACTATCCAGAAAATTTATACTATGGTTCACAAATAAATAAAATTACAAATCCCTACTTCTATCATGCACTGCCATTAAAAATAATCTCCCAGACCTCTCTTCCACACTTCCAAATACCCACTACCCCTCAACAGGATAGCCACAATGATATTTCCTTTTGCCGAACTTCAATTCAACAACTACCATTTTATCTTTCCCTCCCATCTTCTCAGACACAGAGGCGAATCAACGAGCTCCAGCGAAAGATTTTTCAACGTCAACAGGGTTGCCATAGAACACGCAATCGTGCCAAAAACCAGCGCAGAACACATATCGCCACATTTGATGTAATTAGGGCATATATTAGAGTTGTACTCAACATTTATTATGTAAAATAGCTTAATGTTAATTTTAAAATTAAAAAACAAATAAATATTTTTTTTTTTTTCAGATGACTAGGTATCATTGATGTCCATGAGAATTTTTTTTTTTTATTTGTGAATGCAATTATAATTCAAATTATGCAGAATTATTACATGAACAATAAGTTATTAATTATCAGATCAATTAGGCTGAGGAAGCATTAGATATTTTGCAGTTTATACATGAAGCATCTATTTCACAGTGCTCTTGACATTTTTTGGTAAAAGTATATTTTGGGGTACCCATTGGCGATTTTTGGCGGTACATGGATACCGAGATTGTGCAATGCTTTGACTTGTTGTTTTGGTCTGCATAGTGGCGATTTTTGGCGCAAACATTGCCGCTACACAAGCCAAAATAACAAGTCAAAGAATTGCACCAACTCGGTATCCATGTACACATCGACCTATTTTCACTTTAAAATAAATCCCCGAATTGCACAAAAATGCGATTACATACTCCCTTTATCCATGAACACATTAATTTACACATAAAAAATAATCCTCGAATTGCACAAACTATGCTTTACACATTTCCTTGAGTTTGTCCATGTACAC